AGGCAGTGCCTTACCAAACTTGGTGCATCCGGATTCAGTCCCTGTTGGACCAAGTTCCCAAAGATTTCAATGGTGTCAGGCACAGGTACCCCTATGGGTTCCCCCTTGTCGCCAGTGGTAGCGAATGTTTTCATGGAGAAATTTTAAACAGATGCCATCCTGACATCCAACCTATGTCCTTCCTTGTGGAAAAGATACGAAGATGACATGTTTGTCATCTGGCCACATGGCCTGACAGCAAACTTCAAATCAAGATTGTGTTGTATCTGTGTACTTTTTTGAAACGTAAACCCAACAGTTTGTCAGTTAAAAGCATTTCAAGGGTAGGTGTGCACAGACTAGGCCTTACCTGGTAAAGTAAACAGTCAGAGCAATCTGACGTGCTCTCCTGGTTACTCTCGCACACGGGCTTGTCTCTCTGTGTCAGATGTATGCGTGTCACTGGCCCCCAACGTTGACAAAGAGGGGGCAAAAACGATCAAGCGTGATGAGCAACTATGACTGCTGCCCGCCAGAGGCCACATGAATCATAGCCGACTACAATGAGATGGCATTAGCGAGCTTGAAGAATCAACGAGTGTTAACAAGGTCGCATACTGAGATAATTTCAGTAACATTATTAAGGACTTCGGTGCGCTGAGGAAAAGCAAACGTAGTAACTGTCTATACAGTGAATGTCTACCCATTAACGTTGGTGGGAGGTGGAAGGCAAAGATTTCACACCCTCACACTAGGATTTAGTAACTGAGACTCAACATTTCAACTGCTTTAGAAAGTAAATGTTGGTCTGCTTTAGACGGTGACTTTGAAATTCCACAGGCCAAAACTTGACAATAATTCCACAACTTGTTGTCGAACACACTGAGATTGTGACTAAAATATAAAAAATGACGACTAAATTAACATTGAATGCCCCCTTCAGAGCCATGCTAGCATGGGGCCTTCACGTAATAGTTTGTTTTCTTTTCCCGCTGGCCGTTTTCCAAGTTGAGTCAGGCCCAAACTGTGAAACTGGCCTTATCAGACGTGTACATGTCACTTCATGCCAAGTAGGGACAAGGGATAGCGTCAATGATTTCCATCACTTTTTACCAGTCGATTGTGTGAATCGGCCATTCCACCTTCATTGCACGTGACATCAGCGACATCCTAGCACCTCCTGAGTGGCACAGAGCTGGCTTGGCATGGCCTCGGCGCGTGGCTCGATTGTACAGTGGAAAAGCGGTTTCAGTCTCATAACGAGTGAGCTGACTGTGACCTGCTTAACACATACAGTGAGGGAAAAAAGTATTTGATCCCCTGCTGATTTTGTACGTTTGCCCACTGACAAAGAAATGATCAGTCTATAATTATAATGGTAGGTTTATTTGAACAGTGAGAGACAGAATAACAACAACAAAATCCAGAAAACGCATGTAAAAAATTGTATTAATTGATTTGCATTTTAATGAGGGAAATAAGTATTTGACCCCTCTGCAAAACATGACTTAGTACTTGGTGGCAAAACCCTTGTTGGCAATCACAGAGGTCAGACGTTTCTTGTAGTTGTCTACCAGGTTTGCACACATCTTAGGAGGGATTTTGTCCCACTCCTCTTTGCAAATCTTCTCCAAGTCATTAAGGTTTCGAGGCTGACGTTTGGCAACTCGAACCTTCAGCTCCCTCCACAGATTGTCTATGGGATTAAGGTCTAGAGACTGGCTAGGCCACTCCAGGACCTTAATGTGCTTCTTCTTGAAACACTCCTTTGTTGCCTTGGCCTTGTGTTTTGGGTCATTGTCATGCTGGAATACCCATCCACGACCCATTTAACAATGCCCTGGCTGAGGGAAGGAGGTTCTCACCCAAGATTTGACGGTACATGGCCCCGTCCATCGTCCCTTTGATGCGGTGAAGTTGCCCTGTCCCCTTAGCAGAAAAACACCCCCAAAGCATAATGTTTCCACCTCCATGTTTGACGGTGGGGATGGTGTTCTTGGGGTTATAGGCAGCATTCCTCCTCCAAACACGGCGAGTTGAGTTGATGCCAAAGAGATCCATTTTGGTCTCATCTGACCACAACACTTTCACCCAGTTGTCCTCTGAATCATTCAGATGTTCATTGGCAAACTTCAGACGGGCATGTATATGTGCTTTCTTGAGCAGGGGGACCTTGCAGGCACTGCAAGATTTCAGTCCTTCACGGCGTAGTGTGTTACCAACTGTTTTATTGGTGACTATGGTCCCAGCTGCCTTGAGATCATTGACAAGATCCTTCCGTGTAGTTCTGGGCTGATTCCTCACCGTTCTCATGATCATTGCAACTCCACGAGGTGAGATCTTGCATGGAGCCCCAGGCCGAGGGAGATTGACAGTTATTTTGTGTTTCTTCCATTTGCGAATAATCGCATCAACTGTTGTCACCTTCTCACCAAGCTGCTTGGCGATGGTCTTGTAGCCCATTCCAGCCTTGTGTTGGTCTACAATCTTGTCCCTGACATCCTTGGAGAGCTCTTTGGTCTTGGCCATGGTGGAGAGTTTGGAATCTGATTGATTGCTTCTGTGAACAGGTGTTTTTTATACAGGTAACACGCTGAGATTAGGAGCACTCCCTTTAAGAGTGTGCTCCTAATCTCAGCTCGTTACCTGTGTAGGACTCTTACTGACGCGACAACTTCTTTGTCTTTCTCTTTCCTTTTATTCTGCATATAGTTCACATCAGTGGCGGCTCCTGCAAAATCTCTCAGGGGGGGCAAATGTCTGGATGATTGATAAGGATAAGGTCCACCCATGCAATGGATAATAACAGCTTAAGCATGTAAAGGCAACTTCACTTCTTTAATATTAATGAAAAATAAAGTGACTCTTACAATACATCTTGTTTGTTTCTATACTAACTATTAAAACAAACCACTCAAGTTTATTTTATTAAAGATTCCACTAGGTGGCAACAAATTATATTGTTGGATGAAACGTGCTTACTTATGATGACGTAAGCACGTATGATGACGTAAGCACGTTAGGGCGAGCCCTCCCGGAAGCCATAGAGAATGCATTGCAGCGCCCCCGTTCGAAAAAAAACATCTTTGAATGTAAGTCTATGGGGCCACTCGGGGCGATTCTCAGCTGGAGTGAAATCGCCCAAAAAGAGGCGGTACTCCACAGAACGTAGCATGACGCTGATTGGACTATATCCAGAGGCACAGTGACGGCTAGCGTGACTCTGTGGTTGAATGACATTGGTGGTGCGTCGCCCAATCGCCCTAATGAAGAAACCGCCCCTGGTTCACATCTCCGACAGCATCACTCAATGTTCCTCCATGCTCTTCAATGCACAACTCTCCATCTCTCTCCACCAAGGTCCGTTACTCCGCTTCTTCTCTACGCTGTACACGCTCCGTCCTTGCTACTCTGTCCGTACTCTCTATATCCACTGCTACTGTATACTGTATTCTCCTTGTCCACTGGTACCTTATACTATACACTCTTATCCACTGCTACCTTATACTATACACTCTTGTCCACTGCTACCCTATACTATACACTCTTGTCCCAGGCACCAACTCAAACGCTAACTCCAACTCTGACTCCAACACTAACAATGACTCCCGTATCTCCATACGCTCACTGCCTTTATCCCCGAACCAATCAGCCCAAATTAATTATGTCATCCCCCGCTTCGCTACTCGCCCCCAGGCCCCCAGCCTCATGTGATCCTGTTATCGTCGCCACTCCGACGCCAGTCATCAACCATTCACCCTCTCGACCAATCACCGGCCTGCGTCCTCAGTTACCCTTAACACCTGTGGCGTCTCTTAATGACCTCACCCCTTAATTGGCACAACAACAACTGTATATCCTCATTTGCCCCCACTGTCCGCTGCACGCTCGCATCGCAACCAAACGCGTGGCGCGTGTCATTTTAAGTCCTACACCTGTATAAAAGACACCTGGAAGCCAGAAATCTTTCTGATTGAGAGAGGGTTAAATAGTTATTTCCCTCATTAAAATGCAAATCAACTTATAACATTTTTGACATGCGTTTTTCTGGATTTTGTTGTTGTTATTCTGTCTCTCACTGTTCAAATAAACCTACCATTAAAATTATAGACTGATCATTTATTTGTCAGTAGGCAAACAAACAAAATCAGCAGGGGATCAAATAATTTTTCCTTCACTGTATGTAGTGAGTTCAACTGAGTTGCAGACATACTCTTTGGAGGCAACACATTAATACCAACACAAAGGGGTAACCGCCCCTTAACCAGATAACAAGCTATGGTGGTGGACCACCAGGCTAACTATACTAATTACACCGTAACTAGCTACAACAGACCGGACCATAGCTCAGGTCCAGGTCCACGTGTTGGAGAGTCTGTAGGACGTAGAAGGTAGAATGTAGATTTCTTCAGGATGAACAACAGCAGCCGGTCCCTCTCGGGGATCCTCTGCGGCATGGCTGACTCCGCCCTTGGCCACGACAACCTTGGAGAATCCTTGAGCAGGATCTCGGACCTGACACGTGACCACATCTGTGTAGACTCAAATGGTCACGTGTCCTCTGGGATCAACCAGAGTGCCACGGCCTATAGTAACCCCCTTCCCGTGAACCCAAAGGTAGGGGCCGGCACTGCACGCAGAGCGTGGTGCCATCCAGCGCTGTCAGTCAGCGTTCACCGAGCCCCTCTAGGGCTGATACTGCACTCACATATAAGTGGTGTCCGCGATTTCAATACATCGCACACCGTGCCTCTCTAGGGCCGGCATTTCACAGTGACATTCGCGATGTTACTACACATATATATTACATTTTCATGATAATGCAGCTGATGTATTGATTTTGAAGGTGTGTAAATTTGAGAAAGGAAACAAGATTTTTAAATATATATTTTTCCTGTGTTTCCAATCCACTGTGTAACCATTTTCATAATCGAATACTGGTTCTCAAAGTCAGGAAGCGGTCATTTGTTTCAGCGGAATTTTTGTAGTTAATGCACTGCTTGGCACATGCATTTATGCAGTGGGGCTCCGTCTGGTGGAATTTAACATTCCCGTGACCTTGGAAAAGACAAAGACCATGAACCCAAAGGTGCAAGAAGGTGGCCGGTTCCGTCCTGCAAACTGCATCTCCAAACAGAAGGTGGCCATCATCATCCCCTTCCGGCACCGGGATGAGCACCTAAAGTACTGGCTCTACTACCTGCACCCGACACTCCAGCAGCAGACCATCGAGTATGGCATCTACGTCGTCAACCAGGTAGGAATGACACACCGCCCGTATCCGTGGCTGCCCCCTGGTTAAATAATGCAGGCATTTTAGCCGCAAAATAAATGGGCGGCCGTCCACTTTCACAGTGGATGTTCAACATACCGTTTGTTGCACACTCATAATGAAGGACGTCGGTAGGTGCTCCAAATCGAGGGCAAACACATTTATTGTGGTAATCTGTAAAATGCAACAGCACGTATGTCACACACAGCAATTTTCATGAGTCGCCATTAACCACATGACTGGTGGACAGGTCAGGTTACTCAATAATCCTGCCTGCCACCTACAGGCCCGACTCAGTATCGCATGGTGGTGTACACACGTGCATTGATGTACTGCACACAGCACAACGACCTTCACAAAACCACACTTTACTCCATTGCTGCACGAAGAAATATTTTAAAGAGTGGTCCATTCATAATGTGCCACACTCTCCCCTATATAATTAATGTCGTCTCGAAACTCCCTATTTCCCCTTGCAAACCTTTTGCAGTATTTTCTTTTCTTGAACTGGTCATGAAAGGAGTTTATGAAATCGTGTAAACAATTTCTCTAGAGATCATATCACTTCCAAGATAGCACCACTCCATAAGCTCTCTATCTTGGGTTAACTCTTTGTGCATGAAGCGACACGAGCATTGTATTATGCTTTTGGAATGACCAGACACTCTGGTATTATTAAACCACGCTTCACATTGTACTGACCAGAAATTGTTAGGATTCTTTACCCAGTACCTGTTTAGATGAAATCCTTTCCAGCTTGTCAATGCCCTGTGGAATTTAGCTCTTAGGTACTTACTTATCGGCCTACCAACAGACTTGAAACCTTTTACCGCACCATTTTTTGTATGTTTCATCTTAAGAAATAACCCCTTCTTAACATATTAAACACAACACTTACAAAAGCATGTTAACTTAACCATATGACCACAGCTTATATCTCGTCTCGACCACCCATGTTGCAGTCAAAAGTCCCTTGTTTCACCATGGTCTCCAGTAGCAACCAACAGTTATCCCTTATGCTACTGGGCTCCTTCTCACGATGGTAGATTCGCCCAACTTGTCATAGGTGAGTGTCTTTTGCTTCTCTCTCTTTGAGGGTGGAGTCTCCTGTTGTGATGACTACTCTCATCCTCTTCATCACTCTGTTCCAAGTCCCTTGCAAATTCACTTACTTTTATTTAGAGCCAAATCAGGTCTCACTGTATTCTGTACCAGTTGGTGATACATGTTCCTCGGCTGCTGCCGATAATTGCTGTTCACCTTCTGTCTTGTGTGGGTGGAATTCGTCAACTTCTGGGTTCAATAGTGACTCCGTGTCCTGTATTATTCTTTGGAGGCAATACGTTTATTAACATTAACACGCTAACACAAAGGTGTAACTGCCCCTTTACCAGATAACAACCTATGGTGGTGGCCCACCAGGCTAACTACACTAATTACACTCAGAGTAGCTACAATGGACGGGACCCCAGCTTGGGTCCAGGTCCATGTGTTAATGACTCTTCTTGGACGTCGAACGTGGAACGTCGATTCTTCAGGATGACAACAGCAGCCGGTGCCACTCAGGGCTCCGGCTTATAACCTGTGTGGCGGGGCTCGCTCCACCCCTAGCCATGCCCACCTTCTCCAAACCTCGAGAAGGATCTCCACCTTGACACGTGATCACCCCAGCCCCCCTTTGGGGATGCCCGGGTAGATACCACCGGTCACATGTCCTCCGGGTTCAACCAGAGTGCCATGGCCCCTTTGTAACCCCGTACCGTGCTCGGCACTCTCGCCATCTATCCTGTAAGGGCTGGCACTGCACGCAGAGCGTGGTGCCATCCGTCACTGTCAGTCAGTGCTCACCGAGCCCCACTAAAGCCGGTACTGCATCCACCTTTAGTGGTGACTGCTATGTCAATACATCCCGCACCATGCCTCTCCCAGGCTGGCTTCACACAGTGACATCCAACGATGTCACTACAATTGTACTAAAGTGGAGGATCAGCAATGAGCCAAACAGATCAAGCAGCACCCTTCCCAAAAGAATCATGAGACTCACAGTGAGGCGTCCCTGTGTATGAACTGGGCATTCGTGTAATTATGATTGTTAACATTCGGAGCAGTCAGTGCTGTTGCATTGAACTTGGCGAGCGGAGTTTGATTCGTGACCAAAGCAAACATCAGTGACCAGTGTGGTTATACATGTGTAGTGACACAGCGCCGACTGCTGTCCAGCAGCGGCAACTGCAGTGGACAGTTAGCGCACATGCCATCGAGCATATACACGGGTGTGCCGGCAGGACGGAGGAACTGGGGCAAGGGTTACGGAAGACCTCATCGGGAGGCCCCTGGAACCCTCTAGTGGGTTCGAGAAGGGAAGCGCAGCCAGGGTGGAACCAGGCCGTGCCAAGTAGAATAAAAGCAGTGGAGAGCGAGAGCTCCGGGCTGCCGGTTCTGGGAGTGAACTCGTCTCGTTGTCGCTATCGTCTTCGCCACCTTCTTCGCTGCCGCCTTTGCCTGATAAATGCGCAGCCAGACAGTAGTTGGCTGTCTCGATAGATGTCGTCAGTGCAATGTGGTCAGGGTTGTGTCTAGGCCGGGCTGTACGGCAACTTGGTTGAGAGAGGAGGCGATCTGTGTGAGTGTGAACGGCCGGAGTGGTCTAACGGAAATAAAGAAAGAGAAGGTGCCTCCTGAAACGACCTCGTCTCCAGCTGAGTGTGCGCTAAACACACACACCGAGGAGGACACTACACATGGTTAAACCACCCCATAACTGACACAGTGTGGGAAGACTTCAATCCAGCAGGCGATTGACAAGGGTCTGTATAATATTAGTATTTTCTATTATCAACGTCACTTTGTGGGCAGAAGATGGCAGCACAGCAATTCTATTGTTATTTTATTCTTTGCTCCCCGCATCAACAAATCCGCACTGACTACATTGATGATGCGTTGTCAGATAAGCCCAATGACCAACGCGGCATGGGGAAACGCTCATCAAGCAGGGGAATAACAAAGGTCTGTATTATTGCAAATGATTTCATGGTCGTTAATATGAATGTCGGCACATAGTTCACATGCATTTCTCATGGTCACACACACGTTACATTCGGGTGATCCACTAAACACTTGCTTTGGCAAAACCTACTACCTCCTAATGTCTGGCTAACTGGACCATTCGCGTGCGGTGGCTGCAGTTTGGAGAGGGAATTTTCAACCGAGCCAAGCTCATGAACATCGGCTACGTGGAGGCCCTCAAGGACGCCCCCTACGACTGTTTCATCTTCAGCGACGTCGACCTGGTGCCGATGGACGACCGCAACCTCTACCGCTGCTATGACAACCCCAGGCACTTCTCTGTCGCCGTAGACAAGCTCGGATTCCAGTAAGGGTCAACACCAGCCCCGTAGTGTCAAGGGGAAAAGGGGTTGGAGGGGGATGAGCCCACCCTGCTGAAGGCCCAACTATTCTAATTTCCTCTTCATCATCGTCGTCATTATCAACCATGGTCAATCCACTGCTGGTTGAAGGCTTTCCCCAAACCGTCGCCACCGCTTGGGATCCCGCGATACAAAAATCCTCGCATCCCCATGGACAAACCGATTTCATCACTCGATTTTCTTGACAGACGTCCTATTGGATGTGTTGCATTCCTTGGCTGCCACTCCATTATTGTTCATGACAATTGGCCATCATTTGTGTATAATTGCACGCAATATAGTGTATGTCTTGTCAAGATTGCGGGTGCATAGGCTTACCAAAACACTTATGCGAACACCCACAACAAAGTATAGTACTATGATTCTCTTTCAAGTCTAAAAGTAGCGCACCGGAAAAATGCTGCAAGGTTTTATAATCACATTCGCGACAATGTTTATTTTCAGGCTCCCGTACAACATGATCTTTGGCGGAGTGTCAGGCCTCTCCAAGGCTCAGTTTGAGAAGATAAACGGCTTCCCCAACAACTACTGGGGCTGGGGTGGCGAGGACGATGACATCTCTACCAGGTGAGAAACCAGGCGGCCAAGCTGCAAGGATGCCCATTGGTGCTGCCCCGGCTGCCCCGCATTGTCGTTGTTGATTCCGGGCCCTGGTGGCTTAGTCATGCCCATGGTGTTGCTCACTCTTCTTCTTTTCCGTGTTACCCTGCCCCTGATTCGGGAGTACTGATGAAACAAAACAAAAAGTCCACCCGGCAAGCAATGCAATAACGCGTTAAAAGCTATGTATTATTGTGCATATATTATCAGAGTATACTCTTTGGTTTTTTTGGTAAAGTCACGTAGGTAGAAAAAATTATAGATCACGACGTTTCGATCACAACACAAGCAATCGTCTTCAGGTGAAAAAGAGGGGGAGTAGGAGAGAGAAATTTGCTTATAAATGTAAGCTCGGCAAGGGCCGAGCTCGGCCAGGGCCCAGAAATTTGCTTGTAAATGTAAATGTAAGCTCGGCGAGGGCCGAGTTCGGATAGGGCCTGGAAATTTGAGAGTTGGCTAATATTGTGTATCCATCTTCTTGGTTGAATTTATGTCTGTGTTTTTAAATCTGGATGGCTTTATGGACAAATCTTTGATGGTAGCCCAAAGGTTTGCAGAGTACCTTGGTCTCGGAAAAGACAATATCATGTGAGCCCACCGCGTTCAAACAGTGATCAGCCACGGTAGAGGTATTGGTTATGCCATGTTTCAAATCTGCCTTGTGTTCGCGAACACAGTCCGAGACGTCGTTTCGTTTTCCCAATGTAACTGCTGGCACAGACTCAACTTAGTTTGTCGACACCAGGGTATTGCTGTGCAAATCTATCAGAGTTTGTTTTTTGTTTGTGTTCTGACCACTAGTATTGTGGTTAATGCAGACATGATTCCTTGTAAAAGATTTCAGTGTGGTTTTTAACATCTTAACACCTGTTTTGTTGCCAGAAAAAAGGGGAAAACCTATTCTCAGACAAGAAGTTCCCTTCCAATATCTGCCACTCCATAATATTTTTTCTTACACATCCCACCAGCAACATGGCTTTCTGAGAATTATTTTTGTCAGCAGAATTGGTTTCATTCAAGAAAACCCAGGACTTATTTTAACATTCATTTTCTAAAGAGCTTTCTTGAATCATTGCTGATGCACTACCCATGGTTGACTGCATAAGGTGCAACAGAAGTTCAACATACGTATAGGCAAGAACCCTCTCTTTTAGATATGGTTCCTAGTTGAACGCAAAACTATATAATACATAACAGATAATAATCATGAGCATTATTGTGGGGTATTATAAATGACAAAATAAATTAAAATACAAAAGCTTGTGGAATTCAGTATGTAATTTAATTTGTTACATATGGTATATAAAGAGTTGTAAATAATAAGCTGTACAAATATATTTGTGTCGTAATGAAGCAACGTGATTATCTGGTTCTCCTGTACGGACATATTTATTTCAAAGTAGCAAGGCTGGCATCGGATGTATACTGAAAAATCGTGGCTAGCAGACCTTGGCATTAGAATTTAGCTACTGAACATTATTGCCGCACGCAAGAATGGAACTGTAAATTATAGTGAGGGGTGACAGTGTGTGATTACATCAATGTGCGGAGGACATCCTTGGTGAGGAATATGATTATGTTTCTTTATTTTATTACGCAGTCGTCACTGCAGCTCATATAGAGTTTACCTTTAACGTCCACGTATAAAAAATATTGTTCTTCCACCGTGCAGCAAAAATATTAACAAAACCCAGGACCTATATCCCATGGCGATTGCATTGACCTATTGGAAAAACAGTCCATTAAACTTGAGAGCATTACACTATTAAGACTGGCCAGTAAGTACGTTTGCTCAACGATCCTATTGACAATTGTTACTCCTCAAAGTATTTAACCCACATAATCCTTTCCCCCCGTGTCCCACACTCAGCTTCCCACTTATAGCCCCGCCTACTTCCCCCCCAGCCTCACTTCTTCTCCCCTTAGCGCTCACGCAGCTCCCCTTCCCCTGCTCCAAACTCTCTCTCTCCCCCCTTGCTCCTCCCCCCTTTCTTACCTATATCACCTCTTGCCACGGCAGCTTTCTCGCCTACTTCAGCATTTTTTTTTTTGCTGTGGTTGTTCTTACTGATGAAGATTACTTGTGTTGCGATCGAAACGTCGTGATTTGTTTTATTTTATTTCTACCTACGTGACTTTACTGAAAGAACCAAAGAGTATTGTATATATATTTTTTTCTTTTTTTAAGGCCACAGTGTTGTTGACAAATGTGGGTTTTTGTCTTTTTGTATTTGTGCACCACTGCTAACTTAACATCGCCAAATTATTTGAACCAAACTAAATTGCATTTTGTCATGTCTGTTGTGAATATTTACGCACTGGTACCGACGAACATATTCGCATGTGGATGCAGCACACGATTGGTTTCAAACTAAATGAAAAAATGCGTCAATTGTAGTTTCATTAAAAGAAGAGTACTGTATTACGTATTACGTGCATCACATCAGTGTATATAATCTATGTAATTGATGTCGTACATGAGACTAATGTACATATATAAGGGAAATTTGTGAATATGTCTGTTCGAAATGTTTAGCATACTTCCCGACATGCAACAAACTTGAAATTTGGCGTGTGGGTAGCTTCCAGACTGTACACAATGAAAAAATATAAAAATAGACTTTTGTATTTGGGGGGGGGGGGGGGGCGCAATAATGCATATATTTTGCACGCAAGTGAGTGGTGACATCACATCAGTCATGTCACCCGCATGCGGCAGCGTTACGCAGTGTGCCTGCTGACGTCACGCATCCCACCCCCCCAACCCTCCACGTAGACCGTGTATTAATCCAAGACAAGAATCCAAGTCCCGGTGAAGCCGGGTAGTAAAGCTAGTCTACATATATGTAAAAAGGAAATTTGTGGATATGTGTGTCTGTTCTAAATGTTTAGCATACTTCCCAACATGCTACAAACTTGAAATTTGCATGTGGGTAGCTCCCATACTGTACACAATGCAAAAAGTATAAAATAGACTTTTGTATTTTGGGGGGGGGGGGAGGGGAATGATCATGTAGTGTGTGGCGTCAACCCACATACGGGAGTGGCGAGAATCGATATCTGGTGAGGATTTGTAGTATCGATGAAACGGGAATAGGCTGGTGGCAGGGGGGTTGACAATTTTTGGAAACCTTTTAGATCAACTATTTACCCCCCACTTTCTATAACTTTTTTGACTTGTAATTTTGTTGACAGACAAATGGACAGACAAACCACACGCCGGGCTTTCACAATAGCTTAGTATTTGTGTATGTATATGTTATGTTTTTAAGTTTTGAAATATATTTTTCCCCTGGGCAATGCTCGGTACTTCCCGCTAGTAATGTATTATGTGTATTGAGCGAATGTCCACAGCTTGGGCCTTATTATGTACATTAGCTTAATGTACTTAATGTACGTAATAAGGTGAATCATAATGAAAAGATAGCTGAAATATGAGTTATGGAAAATAGAATGTCTGGTGGGTTATGTGAATTGAGGAAGTGCGTACATTTTGCTTATCTGACACCGTGCAAAAACACATGCAGTTATTATTGTGGTATTCTTTATTGTAGATGTGGTAAGTAGAGGCCGACCGAAACTGAATTTCTAGTTTCAGCCGAACCCGAAACCAGACCGAAAGTTAAAAATTTACTTTCGGCCGAAGCCGAAACCGAAAGTTTAACTACACTTTCGACCAAGACCAAAACAGAAAGGTATATAACCAAAGTTACCGGTCACAAAATTTATGAAATACTAGCTTTACTACCCGGCTTCGCCCGGGACTTGGATTCACCACGGCCGGCCGCCTTTCTCTCCCCAGTGGCGATTTTGATATACCACACCACTTACTCGTTTGAGGCTGAGTCGACCTAGGGGAGTCCCAGGACCGGTTCAAATAATTGTCACCGGCCGTGAGCGGGAATCGAATTTGGGCCGCCAGGTTCGTAGCGCAGCGCGCAAATCGCTACGCAGTCGCTGCCCCCCCCCCCTAGGTGCGTGACGTCCTTTAATTATGGCCCCAGACCATGGTTGCGGCTGTAACCTCGCTCGCAAGCTGCTGCTGCTGACGTGTGTGTGTATGCAGCCTATCGCAGAGGATTGCCTAGCGCCAACTGACCGGCTGATAGACTTAGCACTAGTGTCTCGGCCTCGTTGTGCGCTGCGTTGCACCGCTAGCTGACTAGTTAACCTCGCGTCCAATAAACCCTCAGAGCCAGGATGAACATCCGACTCCAAACGTCATTTATTGAATTTAACGAGGTAAAACTGGTAAGAAAACAGTACAGATACAGCATCTGTTAATACCCGGAAACACCAACACAATGAATGAACACCACAGCATCATAACATTGTCTTAGATAACATGTTTCTAAACAATATATCCTGGATGGGCCAGGCACCTACATTACCACTGAATAGCTATACAAGAGCATACGCTGCTGTGTTACATAAAGGCACACCGTGTTATCATTACACTGCACCCCAGATGTACAGTTCTACACATAACACTACACTATGAATGAGACATTTCGTCATCCTTGCTCTCCAGATCGCAATAAAGTTACTTGGGTACAAGTTTGACTCGACTTATTAAATTACAAGTAACATTCACAATATGGAAAGTTGCAGGCTTCGTTGTTAACTAGGCCTCGTATTTATCATAACAATTTAACAGCATTATAAAGGCATTTACATCATTATAACGGTCATTCTAACATTATAACAGCATTGCCAATATTATAAGAACATAAACGAACTTACAGACAATGCTTCTTAAAGTCCCACAATGGACAATTGTGGCTGGCTTCACTGGGACGCGATGTGTGCCGCCATCTTGAATTATGTGTGTAATGGCGGACGCCCGCGTGGTTGAGCGGGAATCTAAAATCGCAACTTCCTGGTCACGTGACCAAACTTAGCATCAAAAAGAGGAAATTCCTGTGTACATACGCCCCACATCTGCCGTGAGGCAGAACAACTAGCGTTATA